GGGTCGCCGCGACAGCCATTAGGCCAAGTCTGATTTCCCAGAAGATCAGTCAGGCTTGCATTCCTCTCATGCTCTAATGCTGCTCTAATCAGCGACAGCTGACTTGGTTGAAGAATATCATTGTCTTTCCCGACGAGTCCTGCGGTTTTTCAATTAATTTTTCTCTAGATATGCTTTAGGCATTAAAGCAAATGTGATGACACATAATATCCAAGTAAATTAAATATATAAATTTGTTCGATTAATTTCCATATTTAAAATAGATACTTATTCGGCTAGGACATTATTTTTGATTAAAATAATGAAGCAAGCATGTATATAAAATCTATTTCTCAAATTTTTCTCTCGCTAAACATTTATCGATTCTCGCTTCGTTAAATTTCTATAAATATATAAATAAGTCCTTCGAATTCCACTTGTATTTATTACTAATCTAACAATTGTTAATGTTGCATTATGAATCAGCATTTACGGACATCAAATTACATAAAATAATAGTTGTAATTAAAAAGACGTACGTAATTAAAAAGTAATTAAATACAACTAAGTACACATTCGCGCTCAATAATTTACTGCTGTATTCGATAATTAAAAATAACTACTGTTAGTATTCATAATTAAACGTGACACAATAACATCGTCGTTACAAAAAATTTTTAAAGTATTTACAATATATATATTATAAATACTTTTAATTTATAAATATATTGTATCTGAAAAGCATAAAGCTTCAAGAAAAAAATGCAAATTATTGTTATATTTTATAAGTAGTGAAGAATGTTAGCACAAATGCATTTTATATACTTACTATCTATTTTAATTAATTAATTTTAATTAATTATTGGAACCGATACCAATCTCAAACAGCTGCCAGTAGATATTTATGCATAATAATAATATATTTCAAATTTTTTATGAATAGTCTTTTTCCCTTTAAATTTGGTAACAAATTGTTCATTTCATTCAAAATTAGTTTCCTCTGGAAATAAAACTTTTTGTCCTCTCATGCGCGCACACAAATTCAACACAAATATACGTCTACTTTCAACTTTTTAGTACTTCTTCAATTTTAAAATTATCTTTTTAAATAGCTGAAATAGACGCATAGAATGGAGAAATAATGCCTGGTAAATGTAATTGTTCATTAACTGAAATACTCCTTTTACAAACAAAAATTATAACTTTAAAAATAATGAGAAAGATTTTAAATCATTGTAGAAAGATCGTAAAATCATTGGAGATTCAAACGGAAACACATTCGCTCGTTTTAGGCACTTTTATATTACATGTAAAATAACACTTTGCATTTATTTCAAACGATTTTTCGACCGGCGCCGTGCAATTCATCTCGCAAAAGGGTCAAAGAGGCAATTCCCTTGCGAAAAGGTCTTCCTAGCATAATTAAATCCGGGAAAATTCGCGAAGTCGTACGGTTTCTTCGCGTTCCAGCGGAACGGACAGAGAGGACAGAGAGGGAGAAACTTTGGCACCCTGCAGATGAAATTTTCTGCCATTTTGATCAAAGGGCTCGGCCGAGAACTGCAACGCGTGGCAGTTATGCGCTCTTGAAATGTCGGCTCTAACGAGACTCGTCGTAGTCGGGGTACGTGTTTTGAATTCGAAGAAAAAACGATTGCACGTCTCCCTACCGTCGTCGACCAAGGCGCCGTGTAAACTCTCTAAAAAAGACGATTCAGAACCGTAGGAAATTAGATTACTTTTCTGTGCCGCGTTTATACTCCACGCAAAAAACGAATGTATCTCGAGTGAATTAAATATATCGTGGACGAATATTTACCAAGCTGTTTTAAAAAGTTAAAATTGTGTTCTTTTAACAATTCTTAATGACAATTAAAATGTATAATATGACTTGTAAAGTGATACAATACTGGAATATAATGCAACAGAAAATGGGCTATGAAAATCCAGCGCGGATGTCGGGGCGCAAAAGATATTATAAATTAATAAAGAATAAAATGTTTTGGCCTCTCTCTAATTTTGGATTCTCTTTAGTCTGATATGTAACCTGGAAAGAAAAACTTGGACAGGAACATTTTGTAATTTTATTTTGCATTAATTTGTATTTTTTGCACTCTGACATCGACGTTTGGTTTTCATACTACTATTATACTGGTAATATTTCGTTAAAATAAGATAATTTTATTACAATATGCAATAATATATTTTATATTTGTTTCATTTGTGAAATTGAAAAATAATAACTATGTCAAATAACAAGTAAATATAACAGAAAAATACGGGACAAATTTTTTGTTTTAAAGAGCACATAAGCATCATTCTATTAAAGCAAAATTAACGAAATAAAGGGGGGAAAAAAAAAACCAGAAAGAACGATCACCTGCTAAGGTATTTACGCGATACATCTTATTTGTACTATCGCCACAGAAATAGCGTAACAAGAAATAGTTTCGATATTGCGCTAGGTTCGACGGTCTGAAAATGATTGGCTGAAAAGCTGAAACGATCTTCAGGTCGAGGCACAAGCCAAATACCTTTATAACCCCGGCAGAAACAACAACGGACGATGCCGAGGCGATCGAGGTCCGTTCACTATTTCGTGAAATCGAGCTGCTGTTGTGTAACCGCATACATTCCTCCCGGAGCCGAAATGGAAACTATTTCGCGCACAGCTCGAAAGAGGGAATACCTGTGTTACACAATGGTCTATTTTCGCGGTCGTTAAAGAGACGGAAAATTCTCAGACTTCTTTTAAGCTCCGCGCGCTCACAGAGAAGCGAAGAATTTATTTTCCAAGCGGGGGAGGATGCGACGAGCGATATCTCGATAAATTCTCGACAAGCGGGATATCGACGGCCGATGTCGAATCGCGCGAGAAGCGAACCCGGAAAAAAGGTGGGGAAAAAATAACCGCTTTATTCAATATCGCGTAAGGAATTATATATGCGGGCCGCTCGCGAGCGGAGGCGCTTATCGGCGAGACCGACGCGACGCTCGAGCGACGCGCGATCGGAAAACGTTTGCTTACACACGAACATCGTCGTATCACTTTAATGGCATTCTTAATAGCCGTAGGAGAGTTCCGAAGTTGATGTAATCTCAATTTCCCGGTTCCTGCGCCTGATATATCAGTGATTTTCCACCTTTGCGTTATCGTCTGGAAAGTTTGTCGAGTCATGCGGCGGTTCCGGAGCGGTTGGTTTCGCCTAATAACCGTCTTCTGCCCAGCGCAAACTGGTCCGCGCGCGTGCGACCCCGGACCCGGCCCCGTTGCGTGTGAGACGGAAGACTTTGTACAGGATGTCCTGTGCATAATTGGCGGAAAACCGGACATCAACTGGGATCGTAATTTTCCAACTTTATGCATTACATTTAAAAGTCGTTGGAACTTCGATGTTTTTGCTAATCAAAATTTACACCGACATTAAAACATGTGTCCGCACAGAAGTGTAATAATTTAGCAGATTTGAAACAACCTGTACGGAGGATTTTACATCGAGGAAAATCATACTAGTAGATTCTCCGGTCGGTCGGCGATCGGTCCCGTTCATCATTCAAGGCCGTCCGTGCAAGACCTAATCGTATGCTTGATGCAATTTTCTAACGGAATAACATACCTATCGGAATATATAGCCTCTGAGTAATTGCAAGTTACGGGAAAAGCAGAGCGAGATGAAGCATATCTCAAATGTTTTCCGCTAAAATATTGTTTCCTCAAACTTGTGTGTTCAATTTGCATTTCTCACTTCTTATTCAAAAATAAAAGATTCGAACACACTCGACTTATGTGAATAAACATATTATAATGACAATTGCGAAACGATTGTATTTTATTTATTTATATGAAATTCTAATTGCACATCACTTTGGTGTATAATATATAACCAATATAAACAATATATATATATATATATATATGCGTTTCACATTAGCATAATAAAATTGCCATCTGATGATTAAATTCTCGTAAACATATCGATTTAACATTGCGCGAATCTGTTGCATGTGCCAAGCGCGTGGCTTTGAACGACGAGCAAAATGAAAATGATACAATCGACAGCTTTTAATGAGGTTGAAGCATTTCCCCGATTTTTCATATAACCTTCGGAACATGTATAGCAATTTTACTTTAGAAAACTACATTGCTCGTTACGCCTGCCGATATGTTTGTTCGTGTGTAACGTTGATCGCCTGCAGGCTACGGTAGTGGCGTCGCATCCAACTCCCTGACGGAACAACTGATGCATTTCCAATACGGTTGCCTAACAGCGGTCTTCAGTGCCGGCGGGACAAACCAGCAGATCACAAAGTATATCAGATAGTGATTACATGCTTTTTTCTCATAGAAAAATCCACTGTTACCTACTGATACACTTTAAATGTGTTATAGACTCGCCACAAAAAATGTAGGTATTTTTTAGAGATATTAAAATCATAAAATATATGAAAAAATATTTAATGTTGCATGTATTATTTCAATAAAATAATTGGAACCGGGTTTAAAAACACGGGTTTTATATAAGAATGTCTGGCGCATAGCTAGATTTCTCTATCCATTACGTTATGCCGCAATGTCTTCAATGCTAAAAAGACTCGTAGAAAAAAGAAGTATCGCATACGTGGAGCTATAGCAACGGAAAATTATCCGCTTTCACGTGAACCAAATGAACCAAATAAATTAAGGCAAAACAATGTGCAATGTTATGAAGAGAAAATTAGCATTTTACCCTCACAAACACTGTTAAAAAACGGAACTTCGTAAGAAACGCCTTTACGAGACCGGTGCACCCTGTAACACGCTCTTTGTAATCCGGTTAACGAATAATTGAGGAAACTCTGTTTAGTAAAGAGCGGCAAGTTCCGACCGCTGGAAAAACACGCTCCGGGAACGAAGAAGAAAATTACAGGTATAAGAAGAACCGGTTGGCTGCATGAAACTAGGAAGAGAGGCGTTCAATTTAGATCGCTGCTATGCGAGATTCCGCGAGCATGCTTATGCAACATTCGAATGTGTGTGTTACCTTATAACTTCCGAGGTTTTCGATGACACACGGTAGACTGACGTCCCTTCCCAGTGCTACTGTGACATTTGGAATCGGTTCGGCAAATATCGGCGGATCGGAGAGTGCTGCAACATATAAATATAAATGCTACATCAGTTATAAGTGTATACACGATTATATGCGTGTGTCGACATATGACACAATGTTTATTAGTTTTTAATTGTTTGAGTTGCCATTTCTAAATTTATTTCCAAACAGAAAGAAGGAGAGAGAGAGAGTCGGTTAAACCGCAATTAATTTTGATTGACATTTATAGAAACATTTCTGTAATAGTTAAATTGCGCAAATGTAATTTCCGTCGTTGTAATTGTAATCAATTCTAAATTTGGAACAACTTTTCTGCTGTTAGCTTCGGGCAAACGTTTAATACAAAATTCGATATCTTGCATTTCACAATGCGAATTTGCATGGTATGAAATAATTAACAACCGCCGAGCCGCCATAAACAGTAACGCGATTAACTCGTCGACATTTTGGAATGTAAAAATATCATTGACGGCGTCAATAAAACGATAATTGTGACTGATCAATTCCTGAGGGCCGGAGAGGAAATTGGCGGCCGCGCTCGCATCGGCTCGTGAATTTTTCATCTTCAAACGCCGGACTGTCCCGCCGAATTGCGGTCGTCGATAAACGAGGTCCGTTCGAAGATAAATTAGCGGAAAACGATTATTCGGGTAGGGACCCGCCACATTGTGTCACGCCCAAAATCCACGAGACCATGCCGATACGAGCGAGGTTCCGATTTTTTTTTCCCCCAACGCTGACATAACGTTGGCATTTCGGAAACGGTTCTCGCGAGCGAAATTACGTCTCGGCATTTTTAAATCCACACCACGGCCATTACGCGGTGCGTGTTTGCAATTTACATTATTTGTTCATGAGCGCCTGCGACTGCATTTTAGTCAGATTATTTTAATTATAACTCATTCAATGCTATCCTTTCTTATTCCATTGAGATTTGTTTATTTGATTTCACGCTTTCCACATGAAGAATGTTTATTAGCATTAAATAGGCAGATTAATTATTTGCGCACGAACAATTTCGCAAATTTTTATAACACGGGGAACATAATCTCATTAACGGATCGCATTTTGCAATTACGTATATGTACATACGAAGTATTCGTATAAAGCATGTAAATGGTACTTATGTGGAATGCTATAAAGGAGGATAACATATGCATGAGAATATATATGTTGCATGTTTCATTACAAGTCCGATGTATTTTGATCACTATGGCCACTATCGAAACGAAGTCATTATTCGGTATTGCACTCGAACAAAACATCAAGACAAACATAGTCGGTTTATATTATGTAGTAGTTACAAAATGAAACATTTTATTTTATATATATCACGTTAATATAATTCCACTTGCAGATATCATGTGGATGCTTACGCGATATTTCGGAAATATTTCGAAACGCTTAGCCCACTCGTTTCTACTCAAATTTTTACGGACACGCATTTACAGCGCGAGCAATTATCATGCAGACAGGAGCATCGCGGAATTTGAGTTTAAATTTATATGACGGTGATACTTCTCGTTTAAAGTTGAACCAAAACGCATATATCGTTATAGCCGCGAGACGGAAAGTGTGCCTGTAGAATATTAAACGTACAATATTTTTATCATTATTATTCCCGTTGTACCGCGCGCGTTGAAATATTAAACCGATGTCACCGGATAATCCTTCATATTCTTTCACACTTTGCGTGGAACCGTAAAAACCGAAAGGTATTTGTATTTAAACAACGTAGGGCAGACGAATTAAGAGCCAAAATTTAAATTGCAACACAAATCATCTGATGAATGGCGGAAAAAAATTTACCAGACATAGTTGACAAATGTCACAATCCTGACGTTTGTTTTAATCAAAGAATATTTCATTTAGCTCGTAACACAATAAAATCACACAAAACATACGCTTATAAGTATAGTATATCGCAAATAGTTTTGTAATATAAATATATGTGTTAATGACTTTTAATTTGGAAGTTATAAGAGAAATGCGCGCAATAATATATTATATTTTAAGTAAAAATGTAACTAGACAAATTTTTTAAAAATAATTCCGTATTTCTCAAGAACTTTTCAATGATTAAAACCAAAGAAAGGCAATATTCGAAGAAACAGGAATTCTCCATATCATGATAAAACAATCTCACCACAACAACGCTTGGTATTGTAGATAAAACACGCGTCTGGTGTCGGCGTGGAGAAAATCGAAAGTGCTGAAAAGAAAAGAAAGGTGCTAGTACGCTGGCATTCGTGTCGATCGACGATTCTTTCGAAGAAGTTTCGGAGATGGTGCACTCGAGAGTGAAGTAGGAGGAGAGCAGTTGGCTGGCTGCTCAACCGGAAGAGGGCAGCCGTCAATTCCGATCGAAGACTTTGCACTGACCGGAAGTCAGCACACACTCGTACACATCATGTACGACATTTCGATGAAACCTTGCTCTCTAACATTTTGAATTTAAATATCGCACTCACTGTTATTCTTTGACAAACAATTCACGCGCAATAAATGTTCATCGATTCAACATTTACAATTTAAGAAAACTTCTTTCCAATTTTTTTATCCAGAATATTTTGTATTAACTTCATTCTGACAAACAAAATAAACTATAGCTGAAAGGTCCGAAAACAATGAAAAAATCGCGAAACATCGCTATGCATCGTAACTTCCGTTTTATGAGTTTTAAAGAGAATTTTAAAGCATGTAATAGAAATTAATAAAAGAAATATGGCGTTCTGGGAAAATGTGATGTAAACTATTTTAGCGCGGATAGAGTTTTCGGAAGAGCTTCATGTGTCTCCGGTAGCAGGATACGTTGATGACTAGCTTTATGCGAGTGGTATGGCAAACAGGGAGAATTCCCAAGAGAACTTCCGGATGGGAGACTACGGCAAGGTCGAGTTCCGAATTCAAATTATTATTTAGTTAGGAAAGACAAATTATCGCGACCTTTCTCGTGCCCCAAATGCTATGTTGTGCTCGAGTAATTGAAGCGAGGGAATCAATTAAAGTTGCCAATTAAAAAGCTAATGTTGCGTGAATACTGGCACGGAAACTTAAGTCAATTAGAATGCCGACTTTCTCTTTATGATACATTGCACGTTGAACGAGGCCACTTCTAAGCCTACGATAGTTGAACTCAGAATATTTCGTAAATATTTTTCAATCTATAAATATATTATGACTAAAAGTAGATAATAAAAATATTGTATAATACAGATAATTCGACGTCAGTAAATAAAAGACTTTAAAATTCATATTAATTAAAGTGCAACTTTTTGTCAATCAACATCTATCTGATCTAAATTGTAACTTATTTTAAAGATATTAATTTTTTTATTTTGATAAATCAGTTATATTCATTGATATTTGTTATTTATATTTTCAATTTATATATCTCAATTTTCAAGTTTTCTTTAGAAATCACGGTATTCAACGCATATAATATTTTCCTCTGCTTTTTCCGGCATTCTATATATAGACGCCGTCGTCCGCCAAAGTTATAAGAGCTTCGAAGTTTCATGATTGAATGACATAAAGATCGAACTCGTATCACAAAGCTATTCCACTTTACTCAAGAAAATCTCTTAATCGTGAACATCGTGATTTTCAGCATCACTATACAAATTTTTATGTGTATAAATTTCAATCCCGATAATGATATATCGATAATATATTGTATTAAAATCTATATGCTCCCGATATGTTGTAGATATGCGTAGAATCATTTCATATAGCGAGATTCGTTCTTTTTATAAACTGGGGAAAAATTCAAAGGATATTACTTCCATCAAATTTGTAAAGTAAGCGATTTCAACAAAATCAATATCAATACTGCTGCTTTTTAAAACGATTATACTTAGATGCATGCGTGCTGCAGAAAGTTCGATACTCTAACATGAAAATTAAATTACAAATAAGATTATATCAGCGTTCTGCGATATATGAGAAGTGAGTTACGGCTCCATTATTTACGTATATTTAAGTATGCTATTACGCGCTTCGAAATGCAGTTATACGTTGCAGTTACCTAAATATTTATTTAATATTAATTCAGTAATTAATTAATTTGTACTAGTTCAATTTGCAAACACATTTTTGCATATTTCGCATTATGAGACCGTAGTAAATTATTTTTATATCGCGTGTAGACAGTGATACTGCATATTATACACATGCCGCATGTAATTTACATTGCGTGCAAATATAAGTATTAATTATTCACTAAAACTTCACCCATCGTTTTTTACGGATTTTTTAATACCTAACGGATTAGTATCTCAGGTACATAAAAAGAAAATTAATGTCTATATAAATATTGCATTTTACATCTATATTTTTGCAGAAAAGTAAGAATACCATTCTAACATATGTAGTGTTACTATGACAATTATCGTGCTGCGTACAAAAGTAAACGCGTCATTATCATTATTGCATGTTATCGAACGCTATCGCCTACAAACAAGGTGCGGTGTTTTAGTGATAGGAGACATCTCATTAAATAAAGAACCACGTACATTACTTGTATTGATGAACCAGTATCGATTCTTTACGGAAATTTATAATTAATTGCGCACATCTTTTAATGAAGTACGAATCGATTGTACTACTTTATAAATGTTTCAGCTAAATTGTTTCACATATATGTAACAAACGCAATCTTTTAATTTATTTTCGCTTGATTTTATGATGTGTGACTAAAATTATTGGTATCTTAAAATTTTGTTAAAAACGAATCGAATCCAAATTGATGAAAAAAAAACATTTGTTATTAAAAAGATAAGATCTCGACGATTTAAAAATATCTTGTACGTGGAAAAAAATTAAGAACTGAACTGGTGTGACTCATTTTTTGTGCATAAGATAAGATAGAAAGACAAACACGTTCATTACTATTCTTTCTGCGTACATATCATTCGACAGTATGCATTCAAATATGAAGAAAGACGCAATCGGCTCATAATTGCTTCGTAAAATTCACACACAAGATTATCATACTTGTACCATTTATATACTAATTTAAGTATACTATTATATAAGTATAATCTAAGTAAACTATTTATATAATAATAATTCCTTAAATTGTTAATGATACAAAAATAATCTCCGTTGTCTGTCACGTGAGTACAATTAGATATCATAAAAGTCTAGACAATATATAAAGTCATAGTAGTTAATTAAAGAGTCGCGCAAGTTCACGCATCAATTTTCCTTTGGCAAAACGTGAGATTCTACGAAGCGTTCACTTTTCCACTACTGAAGGCGACTTGGGTTAGGTTAGACAAGTTATAGAGTCTACTCTACGCTCTGTTTAGTCAGTCGAGTTGCAACTTTCAAGGCAGCAAGCCGTGATGCAGTGCCGACCGTCACGACTGCACATCACGATTACACATCGTGAAACTCGAAATGCCGCTCGTAGTGCAAGTGATGCAATCGATTAAGATACTTAACATTACGACAACACCTAATCGAATGAGAAAGTGCGGTTCGAATCGCAGTGAAACTTCATCAAAGACGAGATAGCCGAAAATATTCTACTATCCTTCTCGCGGTATGAGAAAATCAAAATTAATCTTCGATAAAAACATGTAAAATACAATATTATTCAGTTCATAATTTAAATGTGCATCACTGGGTTAAAATGTACACATGTAAATTCATAGCGTGGGAAGTAGCATGTTTGCACGCTAATAAAAATAGCACAATTATATAATTGACATTTAAAAATCTTCAGAGTTTTATCTAAACGCCTACGATTACTATTCGTCATGTCGTTTCGTAAGTCAATACATACTACACATTGAAAATTTATGGTATGTTAATTTTTAGTTAATTATCTATGCTGAATTTATAAAGAATAATGTGTAACTTAATGTTAATAACGACTCGTACGTACTCGCGCGTTACAATAGCCATGACCTCGAATCATCAGCACGGAACCTGTTATATTCATGATGTAATGTCCATGAAAGATCCATGCAAAAGTGTTGACGTTGGTTTAGTCATCCGAGCTAAGTAGTGCACAATTAAAGTCAAAGTGCTGTAATTAATAACGATAAGTTTAATATTTTGTAATAAATTTCGAGAAGAATAGAGCAGAGAAGAAAATTTTATGATGTATTCTACATACATAATATTAATAAATAAATTAACATTAAAACAATAAATAAATTAGCTCATAAGTAAATTTACATATCAAAGTATAAACATAAATTTCAAGTTATTTTACTTTAAAAGTTTTATTTACTATTTATTAACTTTATTTTATTATTTTTATCAATTATATTATTTATTATCACACAACTGTGATAAAAACTTTTCTCTCTTTTATGCGATAATACTATCTAAATAAGGTGAAATTAATCACGTAGGATGTGGGTTTCCTATTGGTAAAAGTCGTTAAATGCAAGTAATTTTCTTAAAATACATAAACGCATACAATTTTACGATATACAATATTAACAGATTGTTAAATAGGCTGCATGAAAATAGACGGAGTCTATTATGTTTCTAAGGAAACATTTTGAAATAATTAAATATCTATAATAAGTCAAGCATTTTGTTTTGAAATAAAAAACCGAAAAATGAAAAAAACTATCTAGGTTGTTCGGAATCGAAAACGCTATTCTAAAGTTAAAATTTCTCGCAATCGATATAAAATCCTCAGAAATCGTCGATCTAATAAACGTTAGCAAAGTCTTATTATCGTGTTAAGAAAATCTTATTATCATATTATGTAGCTATTAAATTCTTCCGTCGAACCTGTTAACTGTCTTTTTTTATTTAATGCCTCATCATTATCAATTGGGATCAAATAAGTCAATTTTATCTATGTTTGCAATATTAGCTCACTTATTCACGCAAATCTTCTTTTAAAAAAGGTATATTAACATTTAGTAGCTTTACAATTTTTTTAGAAATGGCTTAGAATATAAAAATGTACATTTTATTCATTATTGGACACCGGAATTTTATAGTATGTATATAAATTAATAGGCCTAGCAATTTTAGAATTTACATATTCTTCATTATAATGCATTGAAATTTTATATTTTAAACAAAGAAATGGTCTAGAATGTTAATTAGTTGACATTGTATAATTTATTATTATAAAGAAATGTTTTAAGTTCTTACATAAATTTAATAATAAATTAATTTCTTATATTCCCAATATTTGCCGATAGTCACAAAGATATGTTCTAGTAACAATAAATTTTATATGCAGCAAATATCTATTAAGTAGAAACAAAATTACAATTAATCCTTTGATTAAAATAAAATATATTTGACAAATACTAAAAATTACGCATAAATATATTGTTGTGCCCCTTTTTAAGAGCACGAGTTCGAGATTTGCCGAGGTGTTGGATTAGGCCGGAAATCCGGAAATTATAAAACTGTTTTTATTTTTCAATAAAAAACAGGTGTCCTTTTATTACTTGGTTTCTTGATTTTCTTTTCAAGTTTTCTCTTTTTACAATTTACTAAGTTCCGTTTCAGGAATCTTTATCTTACAAGTTTAGTTTTCACGGAGCCTCAAGTTACTCTTATTTGTTAGTTACGATTCGCGATCTTCTTGATACGTGTTTCGACGGATATACGTCCGTCCCGTTTGGTTGTTAATTTTCGACCCGCCGTCGTGGTCTCGCGACGGAGACTTTATAATCGCGAAACTGCAATTGATTGCAGTTTTAAAGATCTTTCGATTAAACGTGCTGACGGATTCTTGATAGTTTGTCAGCGTTCTTGCATTAGCAACGAATTAGGTTTCGATTTACGCTGCACGATTCTCTGGTGTCTCGTATGAACCGGAAATGCACTGAATCGTCAGCGTTTTTATATGATATTATACAATATATATTCTTATACTATTTTATTAATTAAAAATATATTGTGGTTCTCTGGACCCACAACAATATCATCGCAAAAGATCTTTACTCTTCTTGTTTTCATCACTCAAAAAAATATTTCGCTGATGTAGTTAGATTTCTAGATATCGCAACAAGAATGTATCGCTATTTTTCGTATCTGTGAAAACATTGTTTGTCACATACAGAATTTATAGCAGTAATGTTCTAGCAATAGCTTCTGAAAAATTTAGGTGCCATTGCTAAATGTTATTCATTGCATGATCTAACACGTGATTGATCTTATATAGATAGGCGCTTTAGAGAAACTTTCTTTTTAAAGTTCACAAACAATACAGATATATATTCTGTTTCTGTCATCTAAACTGATTAAGTAATTACATATGCGATATCACAACAGTTGCTAATCATTTATCTGTTTTAGTTAATTTTTTACACCTAGAAAATTTTAGCTATTATTGCAAGATCATTTTTTTGAGTGATGTGTGTTTTAAGCGAGGTATTATAATTTATTTCATTTTAATTATTATATTTGTCTTTCTTCAAAAAAACCACTTCTAATTAAATTGTCAACTTAAAATCTTAGGTAATTAAAGTTTAATTAACGAAATACAGCGATTTGTCTGTTTGCGTTTTACTGCTTATAATTTGCTATGTGTTAATTAACTGTTCTGCCAATCCTATATGTCTACCTGATATGTTGTTTATATATTATTATACGCAATGCAATTGTGACGAGAAATTATAAAACACACTGTATGCAGCAAGTAGACAAAAAGACTATCCTTGTTGAATATCATAAGAGAGAAATTTTTAATCAAACGAAACCTGGTGTTCACGTCCCTCTTTACCCTCCGCTACCTACAAAGTAAGAGGATAGAACATCTATTCCAAAAGAACATCAAACGTTTACGTGCGATCTTTTGAAAGAACTCGATTATTCATCCATGAAAATTTCTCGTGTTTCATCGAGCGCTTTTATCCCAAGTCGTAACGAATTAATCGCCCGTCCTCTGGCATTCATTGCATTTGATATTTCCTCGAAGCTTAAAATGCCTTCAACATTTACGATTTTATTCTACCGCTTGCACTACGCTTTTGTTATCTATATGGTTATAATATTTCATTACTTCTGCTTATTAGCACGGTTAATATATTATCCCGCTAATAATCAAGAAAACTACTGTTACGCGCAAAATTTTACATATCAATGCTTTATATGCCGCGTTACTGACAAAACTACAAATAACAAAAGATAATTCATAATTTATTTTATTACAAAATTTACTGTATTATATTATAAATTGCAATATTATACTATTAGTTTTATATTACAATTATTGTAAATCACAATATATATTCTGATTATTTTTTTATTACAGATACTGCACAAAATCGAAGCAAATTTCTGTCAACCTTTGATGCGCAATACCAGAATTATAAATTGAAGGGGAATGTGAACTAGAATCTTCTGCCGTCAACGATGCATGTATGAAGCAATGCAATCTATTACATATGAAAGACTCGAAGAGTACTTTTTGCAGCTTACTGGAAACTCTATTGAAATTTATTTTACTGCAAGAGTTCGTACAATTAAATATAAACCGACATCAATATATTATAAATAAAGAGAAGTACAAAAGCTGTACTCCAAATAAATGTCAACTAGTTGCCTTATCTGTGTAAGCTTTATTCACAGTTTATACAGTTTAAAATCGGATAATTTCGACAGAATCATTGAATTGCTGCTACAAACCAACGACGAAAGCAATTTGCGACGTTATTTGTTATATTGTCATTTTACGTACAATCGAACGTTAAGTGAGACAAAATTATATTATATTGTACGTGCCTTATTCTGACATAATATGAGTTATTCCATGCCTTTTTGAGACCGCAGCCGGAACTAAATCTAAGTTGTTTAAACAAAGAAGTCTTTCTTCTGCAACTTATCTTCTCTTCTGCCGGCAGAATGCAAGTATAACTGCGATATTTCTTCAAACCGCATCTGTGCCTTGCTAAGAAAAATCTTTCCTGCTATCCAAGCTGGTTTTTCTACAATCCTCATTATTATGATCTTTTTCCTACAAAACTTCTGTCATATAATAGAAATAGATAAATGCGAAATAAGACATCTACTTAAACACTTAAAAAAGATTCAATAACATGTTAAGATAATTACTCGACATGACTTTATTCGGATGAATTTATGAATACGTTATGCCATGTTAGATACGTGAGAATAATAAGCAGACCCAAAGATGCGAAATAATACGCAATGTCGCAATTAATACATCAGCTGCAAAACATGTGGATAGAATATTTTTGAGAGAACATAACAATGGCAAAAACAATGAACAAGAAGTCATATTTCTTCGTCAGTCTGATCGTAACTTCGATCTTGACGTGTCTTTACTTCATAGTTTTTTATGATAATTTCAAAATAAAGGAAATGTTTGTCAGAGCATACGTACTTCCTGAAGAAAATGAGTTTGTAGAAAAAATGATCGATACAAAAGAATATAGAAGAAAAGGCATGAAGACCATTCTTCTATGGAACACATTCTTCGGTGACAGAAACTTTTATTTCGGAGAAGGCGATATTTTCCGCGATTGTCCCATCAATACATGTAAGATCTTCAATGACCGGGACTATTTAAATGTGGAAGACTACGATGCGATTCTTTTTCATGGTAATGAGCTGAATAAATATGACATGCCGGCAAGGCGGAAGCCGAAGCAACTCTACGTTTACGTCAACTTAGAAAGTCCAGCAAATAGACAAGTGCCTTCTGACTTCGAGGACTATTTCAATCTCACGATGACATACCGGCTCGACAGTGATATACCATGGACTTACGCCTTCGTCGAAGAAATAAAAAGTGGCAAGTTCGTCGCACCTTCAAAGAACCCTGATTGGAGCGCTTACCGAAATACAAGTAATGTATCCTTGCACTTTGTATATTTATTTTTTTCTTATTCAATGCCGTTTTGCAACCAATAAAAAAATGTTTCTTCAAAATAAATGTTGCTTAATTTTTATTCGACGTACAAAAATTTTCCAATTATTAGTTGTGGAACGGCATGATTTTAAAATCACAAACGAGAACGAATTAGAAAGATTTTGTTGCCGATCTCTATATTTTTTGTATGTGCACGTTCATGAAACGTAGTTAAATTCTCTGTCTTTTTATTTCACTGTGTAAAATAAAATTTTCAAAGATTCTTAAATCTATGAATATTCCAATGACGAATTCTCGGATGTGTGTCTTCTCACTGCGCGAATTACCTCAAGTAGGCGAGAACTAATCAGTTTCCACAGGTGTAGAGGAAGCGGTAGACGACGAGGTGCCGTCTGCGATATTGGACGTCGTCAGGGGTAAGAGCAAGCTGGTAACTTGGTTTGTAAGCAATTGCCAGGCCAAAAGTGGCCGGCTAAAGTACGTGGAGGAGCTGTCGAAGCACATAGGCGTCGACATCTACGGCGGGTGCGGCACATTTCGCTGCAGCAGAGGCAAGAGCTGTTTTAGCGATGTAGTCGAGCCGAACTACTTTTTCTACCTGTCCTTCGAGAATTCCTTCTGCGACGATTACGTGACGGAGAAGCTGATGAACCCGCTCAGGTAATAACAGAGCTTCAAACAGCAAGAGATCGTTATCCGCAACCAGTGCACGAAAACAAAGACAATTTAACTAGTAGCTGCGAAACTGAGCGTTTTCCCTGATGATCTACGAGTCATCGTTCATGCAAATAATGTGCACGTTTGACATCAAGCGCAATTCAAGTTCAACTGCAAAACTGATACAAGAATATTTTATTTTATTTATTTTTTTCTTATAATCTTTAATTTTGTTGATTGTTTAAGCATCTCTTTTTCTTCCTAAGAATAAAAAATACGCGCTAACACAGAAGAATCTTACTTAGAGAATTTTTCTTTCTAATAAATTATTTCCGTCGCCTTCTCTGAATTGTCATTTTTCGAGTCATCTTTTACGAAACAAATATTACTAATATTTTCTTAGAAAACAATTATACTAAATTATAATAAACAATTATACTAATGCTTAAAGAATATGTATAAAGGCTTCCAAACATTGCATTATTCATATGCAATCGAGCATAGAACCTATTCAAAATCGTGCGTAGATGGATTGTCGCATTACGCATTGATGTTTAATGTAAATGCAACGAGCATAAAGTTGACATCAAAATTCCACGATTGTCTAAAATTGAAATATTATCGGCACGATGATAGAATCGATATGACGCATCAATAATTGAATCGAATTTGTCACTATTTGCGATTTGCGCGATATACAAATGGATTGTAACGATAACGGCGCATATCGCATTTCTTTCCCGTTTTTATTCACACGATTCGCTCGACGTAGCATTCAATGCGCAATGCGGACATTGGTTTGCTGATCGCTAAATATGTCCGTTTATTATTCAATATTACGAATAATCCAATTTTATGGACATATAGGTGCTCAATATCTTTCAATGTGCACCTTTACAATTATTTTTGAATATATGCTTACATATATATTAATATTTTAAATTATTATTCGTATTAAAATTGAATATAGAAAACTAACTATTTGGTATTGTCCATTTCAATTTTAATTTATTACGATTTGTTTGTTACATTCTTTGCAATACGCGGCTCGGCAGATGTGAAATGGCTAAAATTGCAAGAATATATTGTCAAGCAATAATGGGATTTTCTTATCGATATTCTCGCAGGTATAACGTCATCCCAGTGGTTTACGGAGGCGCCAATTATAGTCAGTTCGCACCACCAAATTCCTACGTGAACGCTTTGGACTTCGAGAATCCGAAGAAGCTCGCCACGTACTTGAAATATCTCTCTCAAGATCTGCGACGATATCAAAGCTTCCTACAATGGAAGAAATATTATCGAGTCAACATGGAAACGAAACGAACTGTTTGTACTCTTTGCGAAGTGCTCCATAAGCAAAACCAGCCAAAAATGTATCCGATCTTATCAGATTGGTACGCGAAAAATAAATGTTCTATACAAACACTTCTGGATTACAACGGTGATAAATACGCAACGAAAATGACATTAATTAATCGTGGGTAAAATCAAATTAGAACGCAGAAATCAACAGTGTATTAGAATGAAATGTTGCAGAATACCCGGGAGACTGGACGCAAATGTCAAATGTAAATTATATCACGACCTTATATATGATTGAAAATCAATAGGTGTGACAATCGTAAAAACGTAATTTTTCGCTATTGCATTTTTGATTTCGCTATTTTAGGCAACTTCATTGAACGTTGGTAAGCAGAATACGATTTTGATGTGAGTACTTCTTGAATTTATCTTGAATATTGAACACGACCTCGTGAAAGTTTATCGATGTTGTTCGATCCAATTTATCTTAATTTTGGAAATTTTTAATAAGATAACTGAATTTATAAGTAATAATATTTTGCTATAGGATTTGTCAAAATCTTTTGTTTGTTCAAAATTAGCATTTTGAACATCCCTAAGATTATAACATCATAAGTGAGTATGTAATTTTGATGCCCGATTTATGCATCGATAATGGATCATTAGCCAAGGATATGTAGTGAATGTATTTACTACTACATATGTGTATTTACTACGTATTTACTACTCACTTGGTTAGTTAAGATCAAAGCAGCCAAGCTCCACCGCCCTAATACTACTATATTTCAACAATTTAAGCGAAGCAAATCTGTGATGTATTGATCGCACGATATCCATAAAGATAGCTTTCAAAGATTGCGCATTTAATTTCAACAATTTATTTATACAATAGACTTAACGAATATAATGCGCATGTTTACATAAAAGACTGATGTTAACTTTATTTTCATCAAAAAAATATCTGTCAGCAAGTTAAACAATTTTTTCGTGATATATTTCTTAATATTTATTAATCTATTTATTTTCTATTATTTTTATTCTTTTTACAAAATTCATGCCAATGATGAATATAAATAAATCTTTATCCGGTTGAATACTAATTATATTAACAAACTAAAATATAACGATTAATTTTGTTAGCGCTGTTTAATTTGATCAATTTTCATACATTTTTAGTTGCACATACTTTGTGAACATATAAAATAATGCAAATATAGTAATAAAAGATTATTGTGTTCACACATAATTCCGTATACAAAAAATAAAACCAAATAAGATGTAAACATAATCAGTAATATATTTAACAATAAAAGGCCATTAATTTAGTCCCTTTTATTTAAAAATGACATATCAATAGAAAATACTAGAATAAAAAGATTAGTTATATATATTTATCACAATTTTGTATGTGAGTATACGTGCTGATCTATACAAAATATGTGTCTTGTTTCCTAGAATTTTTCTGTATACTTTTAAATGTATTTTAATTATCTACCTCAAAAAGTGATGAGTTAAGTCTAACAAATCTAAATATAAAAAAATTTTTGTTAACTTATTAGAATTAAGAAATAATCTTACATAAGAGAGTTTATATAATATTTTATTATTAAGAGAATTATTTTTATATAAAAATTTCTATTTTGTTTAATATGCAAAATGTTGTTTAATTTATGAACGGACTTAAAAAATTCAGAATAAAAAAATTTAATGTTATAACATTAATTTTTATAAGATAACAGATTTATAAATCGGATTGTGTAAAAAGTAATTACGTTCATAGTGTAATACAAATTTATATAGATAATAAAAAATAATACTTTATTCTCAATAATAATTATTAATTTTGGTTTATGCAAATATTTAGATTAATTTACAGATAATATGAATATAAATATATATATATATATAAATTATACAAAACTTATGTCTATAATAACGATGTCCTAATCTGGTCATTGTATATTATCTGTGACAATGGTATTTTCAGAATCGAGATCAAACTTTATTATAAAACATCATTTTGTAACAAATTTACATTAAACCAAAATTGTAGCTCTGTAAGCCATTTAGATGTCTAGCCATTTAGTATGCAATTTTTGTGTTCCATTAATTGTTAATTGTGTCTTAATGTAAATAAACTGTAAATTATTAAAATAGACATACATTTTTTTCAACATTTTCCTTTTTTTAAAACTGTGATGCAGACATTACTATGTTCTAATTTTAAAAACAATAAATTTTTTCTATCAAAGAAAAATTTCTTTTAATAGTAAGTTGATTCTTTAAACTCATTTATTTCAAGGATAAGTTGTTTGACTGCATTTAATTACAATAATCTATCTACCTTATGGCGCTTTGACTTCCAGATTTTTTATATATCGACATTTTTTATGTGTAAATATTTTCAAATTTTTTAATCTTAAAAAAAGATTTTGATCAACAATTTGATGAATTTCACTTATTGATCCACGGCCATAAATATCTTAATTGTTTACTTGACATTGCATGAAAGATGATTCGAAAGCAACTTGCGCTCGGAAGAAGCAGAAACTTTGCTGAGAAATAACAAGATTAAACAAGCTCACTCCTGCTGCCGCTGTGCGAGTTTCTTTTTCACCTAATGAAGAAACCTTCTATTCCTATCAGTTTCTGTCTACATGTAGGAGGCCCAATTAAATTGCGATCTATTATATCCAATTCTGTTCTGTCGGTTACAGTCACAATAAAGTTATACGTTAGAATAAAGTTTTAATGGCATTTCTCAATCGATATTTTATATGATGTTAAATGAGAAGTTTTATTGCGTTATCATCGAATTTTGAAGAAGTCGAATTTTAGATACGTACTTCATTTCGTATTCATATACAAAAATTTTGATCATATAATACATATAGTGTGCACATTGGTATTGCTTTTCTGTAATAAATTTCTCAAACAAGATATATGTTGCTTTCAAGATCTTCTTTAGTCTTCAAGTATGAATAAGATACTGAAGAATGTTTTTGTATTAGAGGGAGTGAGTGAGAAAGGGAGAGAACATTCTTCATAAAATTCTATCAGACAAGCAAATGCCTCTGGCGAATAATCCCGGACTTACGCGGGACTCTTAACGAAGGAAACTTCTCTTCCTTTGTACGCCTGCCTGCACGATAAGCAATCGAATCGCAATAAACCGGACCAAGATGTCGCAAGTTACCAAGATAGATATTACCAATGATGGTTGTGTTGAACTTACGGGAATCGCGGGAGCGCATTACGTACACCGCTCGCTAGACGATAGCACACCGCAGCATCAGTATTGTAAAAGTACTTGGACGCAACTTCGAGCATCGAACAACCATTTCAGTAGGTTGTAACAACCTCCAAGTCCTCCTTAAAGTTCATTGTGGCGACAATTTCTTGTCGCGAACGCCGTAAACCTGTAGTTCTTCTCCCTTTCTCTCTCTCATATACGCACACACAAATACACACACTCTCTCTCTCTCTCTCTTTCTCTCAAGTTGTATATTTAGACAAAATAATGATTTTCACTGGATTTAATGGTACAGCGGTCAAAAGATCGAGTCAGAAATTGAACCAGACAAGATTTCCGTCGTTATAAAGTTCAATGTTACAGGCACACAAAGATCACCCTTTTCATCACGTAACGATAAAAATGTGACACTGAAAGATAAATTGTTTCGCTAGTCACAAGAACGATACTCCCTGAAATTATAGTAGTTTTAATATCTGGTTCGATTTCACATGTATTAGGAATCAGAATTGAATGATTGTTCTCTGTGATGCGCACAAACGCAGTGATTGATTGATTATGTGCATGCTCTACCATTATCCGATGATGCTTATCGTACAGCTGTATATGTGTGCATTCGAAGCGCAACGCGATAACGCAGCATGGGAAAATAGGAGCATAAGTTATGTCATACCATAAAATATGCGTCAGCGATGACCAAATGTCGGATAATTACAGAAATGTTTGCTTTCTGATATCGCTTATTAGAATTAGCAAATTAATTGTAGGAGGACGCGCTCCTTACTGGTAATACTGGATTCTATATTGCGATATATATAATTTTATTTGCAGAAAGTATTAAAATATTATACTAAAATCTATTGTTTCTTATCACAAATATTTTTAATTATTTTTGTAAATAATTTCTATTTTACAGACGGCCTGCATGTAGTTTTCCAATTTGTTGCGCAAATATCCATATTATTATGCTTGTTTTACATATCGCTTCTTTATATTCATCAGTTCTAGGATATTATCTTACCTATGTCTTATCTTGAGTAAATATTTTATTTCTTCGCGGTTTTTCAATAATTATGTGCATTATTACTTGAAATTTTTCCGTTTGCGTATTATGTTTGCAGAACCTGCATGCTTTTTAATGATAATTACTATCGCAAAATATACGTGTGCATTCATATTTGATTGTATGCAATCCGTATATTTCCAGAGTTTTTCCATCCATTTTTGTACAAACCATTTACGCCATAATTGAATATCACATGTTGTTGATTTAATTTGTGTTTATGGTTTCTTAACATTCTTATAAATACTGCAAATTTCGTTTTATGCACAAAATCATCAATTCGAAATGACAAGATTTAACTAATGCATATTAATGCGTAAGCTAAATCTTTGTAATTTTGAATCAAAGGTACGCATTGTAAATTTGCGCCGGGCAGTTATTATACGTATTTCGGATGCGCTGACCAATTTTATTCACATCGATATATTACGGAATAAAACGCTAGCAATTAAGTGAATGCAATGATACGGGTGTAATAATTATGGATTGCGGTCACTTTATGCAATTTACTCGTGTGTAACATAATTAGGATATAACGGCAAAAAGCAGACAAAAACGGCACATCATTGATTAATGATGGCTGGTGGTTGATCGCATTAATATTTTCAGATCATCGAAAAGACAATACATCATTACGTTGCAATTTAACAACGCGTCTATAGCATAATGCTACTGCCTTTCAAATGTGATATTTTATTTGATGGCATCATCATTAATATTCAATTTTAGACTACTTGACAGATACGAATGTTATATTGAATTGATCAAAAAGTTCTTTCAAATTTTTTGATAAAAATAAATGAGAAAATTCGAATAAATTTTCTGATTATTCTAATATCATAATAATTTAATTTACATTCGATTTATAATCGATAAAATCTGATTCAATTTGATTAGCTAAATTTGATATTAAAATAAAGCATTAGTTTTTATTTTTTTTAGATTTAAATATAAAGATTATCATCTTTATATATTTTTGTATTATCAAATTAATAAAAAAATTTATTTAATTCCTACGTTGTTCTTAAACTAATAAAAAGGAAAGCGTACTATATGATTAATATGATCGGTACAATCAAAATTAATATAATCAAAACGCAAACATTTTTGTTTCAAGCTAGCTATGTGCAATCTGAACATGTTGAACGATAAAAATACTAACGCACGAATCATTTTCACGAGCAAAACTTTATTTCCAAGCTCCTATGACGAGAAAACTCTGTCGCGCAATCTCTAGCAAAGTGTTAAGGTCGTGAACGATAAATATGGGGGTTGAAAGTGTAAAAGCAACGGCTCGAATCGAGCCGAATGGATATAAAAAGAAATTACTGGCCTCTCAGACGCACTTGGACCTCCAAACGGTAACCTGCGTTCGCGCTCCCTATTTCTTTCCTCCCTTTTCATCCTTAATTTCCATCTTGGTTTCTGTCTTACGCGATATTCTCTCGCCATTTCTTTGAACCCATTCTCTTTTTTATTCCAAGGGTTTATCTTCCACCACCCCCTTCCTTTCCCAAGACTGCCCGGGCTATTTCCTGATTCCGCTGTTCCACACTCGTAACCTGAATTATAGATGCTTTTCACAGTCTGCCGCAACTTACAGCTCCGCCTCCATTTCCGATCCAAAAAGTATGCTCGAAAGATTATTTGCATATATAAGCGCGAACGGAAACATTATTAGAAATTAGACTT